CGCCCATTGGCTGCCCCACCGGCTCACAGGCAATAGGGGTACCAGGCCTGCAAGGACCCTGTGATTCTCCAAAGGGAGGAGGAGAGAGCGGTGAGCTGGGGACAAACCCACAGGCCTCCTCAGACTGGCTCCTCGGAGGGGCGTCCAGGAGGCCCCCAGATGGGCTTCTGCCCGGGAGGGGCTGCGGAGCCTCAGAGAGAGCTCACCCGTCCCCGTCCGCCCCTTCCTGGACCCCGCTCACAAACCCTGCCCCCGCGGGAGGGTGGCGCTGGTGATGACCATGAGACAGATCTGACCCGAAGTCACTCCAAGGCCTCCAGTGTGTTTGCTTTCTTTAATCACCCGTTTCCCCATCCTTGGCTCAGCAGTGCTCCCAGAGGTCAGGAGCCAGCGGCAGGCCGAGGGGGGGCACTTCCTCCCTCCCAGCTCCTCTGAAGTCAGACAATCACAGCAATCACAGCCCGAGCCCGGGTCTCCAGGAAATGCCGGATGGGACAGGGAGCGGGGGAGGCTGCCTGTGCATCAGACACTGCGGCTCCCGGTGCTCAGAGAGGCTCAGTTATGACTGCAGAGCCTCTGTGGGCTTTTAAGAGATATACAGTAGTAATAATAATAATAGAATAATAATAATAAAAAAGAGATGCAGGTCTATGTAAAGTAACAGTTGAAGATAGAGCTGAGGGAATTTCACACACATCCCTGCCTGTGTAACCGTGACCCAGGCCAAGACAGAAAGCTTCTCTCCCCCCCCCGCCCCCCCACAATCGGGGCCTCCTGCAGGAGCCCCCCACGCCCCCTCCAGCCTCCCCCCCCCCCCCCCCCCGGGCATGAGCAGATCGCATTTCACAGGCAAACAATGTAAGGAGCTGCAGGGAAAGCAACACGCCATCATCTCCAGCACCCGGACCACAGGGCCTTCCCCTGGGGCGGGCGGGCGGGCGGGCAGGCGGCTAAGGAAGGCTCTGGCCGAAGATCAGAGGAGGTGGTCTGTCCTCTGGGCCAGGCCCTGGTTTTGCGGGTTGAGCTCAGCAGGCGAGGAGGCCGAGATTACGCCTCAGTCAGAGGGCTGCCCGGGGCCTTGGATTTCCAGTCCAAGGAGGGATCCCACCCAGGGCCCCTCTGGTCTGCCGTTCTGGGGGTGCCACAGCCCCAGCCCCTATAACTGAGCTTTCTATGAAATATTTTTAAATTTTTTTTATTAAATTATCTGTGTACATATTTTACCATTGCCCCACTTCCCATACATACCCTCCCTCCCCAGAGTTTTATGTCCATTGGTTGTACTTCTATGCATGTACACAAGTCCTTCGGTTGATCTATTATCTCCCCCGGATCTCCCTCCCCTCCCCGCTGTAATTTGACAGTCTGCTTGTTGCTTTATTGTCTCTATATCTATCTTTTGGTTCATCAGTTTATAATGTTCTTTATCATCCATAAATGAGGTCATGTATAAAATATTTTTATTGATTCCAGAGAGAAAGGGAGAGGGAGAGAGAGAGAGAAACGTCAATGATGAGAGAGAATCATGGGTCGGCTGCCTCCTGCACGCCCCACACGGGGATCCAGCCTGCAACCCGGGCCTGTGCCCTGACTGGGAATCGAGCCATGACCTCCTGGTTCATAGATTGAAGCTCAGCCTCTGAGCCATGCCGGCTGGACCGTAAGAGCTTTTTGGCCAGGAAGACCGCCCCCTTCTGGCAGTTCCTGAAGCGGGGGCCAGGGCGGCTGGGGTCCGTGTTCTCAGAAACACCCAGGAGCAGGCCTGCACAGCCCTCCCTCCCTCAGAGGTCAGATGGATCCGGGCTCCGAGCTCTCTGCATCTCGCCCCGCACAGCCCACAGGAATGTCCTTCCTCCCCTCCCCACAGCCTCTGTCCACGCAGCAAGGGCAGCGGGTCCCGGGAGCCTCCGGGCAGACCTGCGAGGTCGGAATTATTATTTTATTATTATTATTATTTTTAGGTCGGAATTATTACCCCATTTTGGGGAAACTGAGGCTCATGCTGATGGAGGGCCTGGGACATGCCAGGTGCTTGCTAATTAGGCATGAGTTTCTCTCTGTGTGTGTGTGTGTGTGTGTGTGTGTGTGTGTGTGTGTGAATCCTCACCCGAGGACACTTTTCCTTTAATTTCTGGAGAGAGTGGAAGGGAGAGGGAGAGGCGGAGAGAAACATCGATGTGAGAGAGACACATGGACGGGTTGCCTTCCGCACTTGCCCCGACCAGGGCCGGGCATCAAGCCTGCAACCCAGGTACCTGCCATTGAGCCACATCGAACCTGGGACCCTTCAGTCCAAGGGCCGACGCTCTGTCCACGGAGCCACACCGGCCAGGGCCACAGACATGACTTGCTTTAGTTCTCTCGGTGCTGGGGGGTGTGTGAGCGTGTGTGACCGCCTGCCAGCGGGATTGTTCGGTTGAGAAGACAGGTTCAGAGGGAAACTGCTCGCCTGCAGCCCCACGGCTGCCACCAGAAGCCGGCCCGGGGCACCACGCCCGCGGAGCTGGCTCCAGAGCCCTCGGCCAGGTGTTTGCCCTCCGGCCAGGCCTTCCCTCGGTCTCTCGGTGCTCAGGACCCAGGCCGGACTCTCCCCACTGACCCCCGAGGCAGGGCCCCCTCCCCGGGCATCCTGGCCAAGCCTCAGGGGCAAGCTCCCCGCCTCGGCAGCGGGCCCGCCCGCGCCGGGGGAAGGGGAAAGTGGGCAAGGCGAGGATTTTGAAACAAGGGCTCCAGATGCTCAGATGCCTTCCGGGGAAGTTCCTATCACTATTCATCGAGCTGTCAGCCCGGGGGGTCTCTTGGTCAGAGACACGGACGCCTCCGTGGCCACGCATTTGGTGGCTGAGAGAACACAGGTGCACTATCCGGAGGCCGGTCCGGAGGCAGGACGTCCAAAAGCAATGCCGGCGGCTGAAGTCAGGGCGTCCACAGGCCGATTCCCCCGGGGGCCCGGAGCCGGGGTCCCCCGGTCCCCTGGTCCCCCGGTCCCCCGGTCCCCCGGCTGCGGGAGGAGCCTGCGGGCGGTGCCCCGGCCTCCCTCCTCCAGGCGGGAGGGCTGCCTCCTTTCTCTCCTCCCTCCAATCTGTCTCCGCAGGACGTCCATCCCCGTGGAGAACTTTTGCTCATTTATTTGGGCCCAACTGCAGACACCTGCCGGGAAGAGGGCTCCGGGCTCCGGGACGGGCTCCGGGAGTCACCGCCCGGGCGGCAGCGTCTCGGGTGCGCAGGAAACAGAGGAAGGTGACACGGTGGGAGGAAGCCAGGAGGGGACGGTTAGAGGAGAATGGAGAGTGCTGCCCCCTCAGGTGTTCCTGTTTATCTCCAAGGCCTGGGCGGGGCTTGTTTGAGGCAAAATAAGTCTTTTACTGGGAGGTTGGTGCCTGGGACATAACTGCCCCCAGGACCTTCCTTAGGATTTGGGATCATAGAACCCCACCCCCTTTAGTTCATTTGCAAATTCCACTGCTGCTCTGATAAGGGGACCTTGGTCATTCAATTGGACTCACCCAAATAATCTAGGGCAGCGGTCGGCAAACTCTGTAGTCCACAGAGCCAACTATCAACAGGACCACGATGGGAATTTCTTTGGAGAGCCACATTTTTTCAACGTAAACTTCTTCCAACGCCACTTCTTCAACTTAGACTCGCCCGGGCCCGTGGTATTTTGTGGAAGAGCCACACTCAAGGGGCCCAAGAGCCGCATGTGGCTCCTGAGCCTCGGTTTGCTGGCCACGGATCTAGAGTAATCTCCGAATCACGATATTTTTACCTAATCCCGCCTGCGAAGTCCCTTTTGCCACGTACGGCAACACAGCCACAGGCTCGGGGGACCAGGATGTGAACGTCGGTGGGGGTGGGGGTGGGGGGCACTTTTTCAGTCCCCCACAAACGGCAAAGGCCCATGGGTGTCGACGTCGGGGTGGCTGTGGCTCAGGGGTCCAGGCTGAGGCGGGCAGAGGCTCAGCGCTCTTGCCCACCACCTGCCCTCATTCTCAGGGAGGTGGGCACAGGTCAGCGGCATCTGCCACCCGTGGGGGTCCTGCCGGGCGCCCCACTGTGTCACACACAGAAGGAGGCGCAGCCACACAGACCCGTGAGACGGATGAGGAACGTTAAAGAGAAGCCGCAGGCCAAAATGGCACTGTTCACGCTAAAGAGCCCAGGATGCCAAACCCATATTTCACGCCAACCTCAGTGCGGTGCCAGCCTCTCCCCACCCCCACCTTCATGACCAGGCCACGCCCCAGCACCCGTCGGTCCCCGGGCCCTCTCTGCCCTCCTCACCCCACAGAAGGAAGAGGCCAGTCAGCCTGATAAAGCCTGTCCCTCCTCTTCCTCTAAAGGGAAGACATCCTGGCCTCAAAGAGATCCTTCGATTTCTTTCACTTTTAATCCCCCCCACCCCCGTTCCTGATAGAAATGCCCCGGATTTTGTTCAGCCCCTTCCAGCTGCTCGCTGGGAGGGCCCCATTCACGGTTCCTTCCTAAAGCCAATCAGATCTCCACGTTTGTTCGTTTGATTTTTTAAAAATATATATTTTCTTGATTTTTTACAGAGAGGAAGAGAGAGGGATAGAGAGTTAAACACCAATGAGAGAGAATCATCCATGAGATGCCTCTTGCATACCCTCTACTGGGGATGTGCCTGCAACCCAGGTACATGCCCTTGACCAGAATCGAACCCAGGACCTTTCAGGCCACAGGCCGATGCTCTATCCACTGAGCCAAACTGGTTTCAGCTGATTGTTTTTTTTTTGTTTTTTTTTTTTTTACCAGGAAACAGATTGGAAAGAGGGACAGGGCTTGCCTGGGAGGCGTGGCCCAGGGGCACCCCGGCTCCCCGCTCCCAGCACCTGGGTCAGGAGGGCTGCCCCGGGCGGTGGGCGGTGCCGGTGCGGCCTGGCCCCTCGCTCCGCCCGCCTCCTCCCACTCCCCGCGCAGCTGCAGGCTCGGCTCCCGCCTCTCCCGCAGACCCAGCGCCCGCCGCACCCGCCGCCAGGATGCCCGCTGCGGCCCTCGCACAGAGCGGCCAGGTGCTGCCCGCCTTCCTGCTGTGCAGCACGCTGCTGGTCATCAAGATGTACGTGGTGGCCGTCATCACCGGCCAGGTGCGGCTGCGGAAGAAGGTGCGTGCCCGCCCGGGACCCCCGGGACCCCTGGGACCCACGGCTGCGCCCCTCCCCCCCCCCCCGCCTGGGTGTGCGTGTCCGGAGCCGGCCTCTCCGGGTGACTCCCCGGTGGCCCGGGTTCCGCAGGGCCGCACCGCCTGGCGTCTGTCTTCCGAGGTTTGCTCGCTCACCGTGCCGCCAGGTGAGGTCCGGGCACGACCAGACCTGAGCCGCCCGGAGCGCTGAGCCCGGGACGCGTCCCAGTCCGGGTGGAGGGAGCCGGGGCTCCCCGGCCCGGCGGCTGCCCGGCGCAGATCGGCGATCGGCGGGCGGGGTGGGCGGGGATGTGAAATGGGACCGGGCGCTCTCCGTGGAAATTCCCCGCGCCCCGGCCAGTCCCGGCCGGCCGGCGCTCCGCCGAACTCCCTCGGGGTTTGGGGAGGGATTCCTCCCCGTCCTTGTCCTGAGCCAGACGGGAAGCCGCTCCGCGCGGGTCCCGGCTCACACCGCGCTGCCCGCAGCTTGTTGGACGCGGAGCTGCTGGGGGCACCTGCTGCTCCCCCGGGGGCGCCCGCAGAGGATGGCTCCCGGAAAGTGTGTCTCCCCCCCCCCCCCCCCGGCCTGTTAGAAGGCAGGGTGGCCGGTGGCGCTGGCACCCTCCGGCCCTCGGCTGGGCTGGAGCCGGCGTGGCCGCCGGTGCCCATGGATGGCCGGGCTGCCCAGTGTCCCAGGGAGTTAACTCCGTGCTGGGGCCGTCAGCGCTCCCCAGTGCCGTCCTCATCGCTTGCACAACCGGCCATCACGGGAGCCCCGGGGCCGGCCCCTCGGCCCGGCTGGAGGTCGCGTTCCGGCGGCCGTGCGTGCGGGAAGGGTTCACAAGGCGAGGCAGCGGCGGTTTTGAGAGGATGTTTATTCTCGCCGGGCCGGGGACAGGGGCCGGGGACAGGGGCCGGGGACAGGGGCCGGAGACAGGGGCCGGGGACAGGGGCCGGGGACAGGGGCCGGGGACAGGGGCCGGGACAGGGGCCGGGGACAGGGGCCGGGGACAGGGGCCGGAGACAGGGGCCGGGGACAGGGGCCGGGGACAGGGGCCGGAGACAGGGGCCGGGGACAGGGGCCGGGGACAGGGGCCGGAGACAGGGGCCCAGAGACAGGGGCCGGAGACAGGGGCCGGGGACAGGGGCCGGGACACAGGAGCCGGGAGACAGGGGCTGGGACACAGGGGCCGGGAGACAGGGGCCGGGAGACAGGGGCCCAGAGACAGGGGCCGGAGACAGGGGCCCAGAGACAGGGGCCGGAGACAGGGGCCGGGAGACAGGGGCCGGGAGACAGGGGCCGGGAGCCCGGGGCCGGAGCCCGGGGCCGGAGACAGGGGCCGGAGACAGGGGCCGGGACACAGGGGCCGGGACACAGGGGCCGGGACACAGGGGCCGGAGACAGGGGCCGGAGACAGGGCCCGGAGACTGGGGCCGGAGACAGGGCCGTGTGGAAGCCACAGGAGGGCCGCGGGCGGGGCGCTCTGACCCCGCAGAACCGTCAGGCTGAGGGGCTGCTGCCGGCTCCCGGAGCGGAGCGAGGGGAAGGGGCCTGGGGGGCGGGCTCGGGGCTCCCCCGGGACCAGCGGCCGCTCCGGGGGTCCCGGTTGCAGGACGGTGAGGACCCTCAGGTGCAGGAGAAAATCCCCTGGACAGGAGGTTCGAGGGGGTGCCCCCAGGAGGGGCAGCGGCTTCTTGGCCACGAGGGTTTCTGCCCTCCCCCCGGGGGTGCAGGGCCGCCCCGGGGACCGGATAGGTCGTCCGTCAGCTCTCCCCGGTGTGTCCTCTCCGGCCGCCCCTCCACGGACCGGACGGTCCGGCCCACAGGACCGCGCGTCCGAAAGGCCGGGAGGAGGCGCCACCGGGAGGGAGGCCGGGCACCGGGCTTCCGCCTGGGTGACCAGTGTCTGCCGTGGATGGCTGGCTGGTTGGTTCGGCTGTTGGCCTCAGTTTCCCCATTCCACTCGGCAAGATCTTTTCCTAGCTTCTCACCCTCCTGGCTCATCGCACTCCAGCTTCTGACGGCGGCCCCGTCCGGTCCGCACTGCCCTGGGCCCCCTCGGGCTGACCCTGATTCTGGGTGGCCATCTCCGTGAGGCCGCCGCCTGTGGGTGCCGACACGCTTTTAAGGGTGTCACGGGCCCATGGACTCCGTGCGGGGCCGGCAGAGTTGGTGCCTCCATGACTTAAGGGGCAGCAGAGAGGAGTTCTGGGCGTGGGGACCCTGATCCTGAGACGGGCATCAAGCATGGGCTACCTTCCCCTCGGGGGCGGGGCAGGCGGGGCAGGCCCACCGGGCAGGACTAATTTGGGGACAGAGGTCACAGGAGTTCCGGGGGCAGACGCAGCAGGCTTTGCCTGGGGAACCATTGAGAAGGCCTGGTGCTGAGGTCAGGTCTGCTCAGGTGGTGGGGCTGGCGTCGCTGGATGGCAGCAGGCAACAGGGGAGCCTGAGCGATGGGCACTGGCCTTCAGTGGCCTGAGTATGATCTACGTCTCTGCTTCCCATTAGCATTCGTTGAGCGCCCATCTCCGTCTGACCCCAGGGCCTTTGCACGTCCTTTCCTCTGCCTTGATTGCTGTTGCTCCCGCCCTCCCTTCCTCTGGTTAAAGCTGGTGCATCCCTCAGGCCTCAGCTTTAGCGGCACTGCCTCCGAGAAGCCTTTCGGGATTCTCAGACTCAGAGCTCCTGTGAACATTCTCAAGGCCAATCTTATCTCCTACCTTATCTTCTCTTTCATAATCTGACTGTGACCTTCTCTGGACCGAGAGCCTTTGTCTGAGTTTATCATAAGCTGCTACTGGCCAGGCAGCTTTTAAACATCAGAACTGGGTTTCCCTCCGTGCTGGAGGCTGCAAGTCCAAGGTCCAGGCTCTGGCAGGTTCTGGTGAGGGGGCCCGGGTGGCCATCTCCCTCTGTGATCTCCCATGAAGGGAGGGGCTGGGGAGGTCTCTGGGGTCTTTCCCTTCCAAAGGCCCCACCTCCAAACGCCCTCACCTTGGGGGATACGTTTCAACATTGGAATTTCCGGGGACTCGAACATTCAGTCCACAGCGGCCCTGTGGGGGGGGAGTCCCCAGCACGGAGCGCACAGTAGGAGCTTTGGACGCTGCTGAGCCGATGTGGAGGCGGCCGGGCTGTCCGGCGTGGACGGTAACTACCCGCGGGTGTGTTCCAGGCCTTCGCGAACCCCGAGGACGCGCTGCGGCACGGAGGCCCCCAGTACTGCCGGGAGGACCACGACGTGGAGCGCTGCCTGAGGCGAGTGCCGCTGCGCGCGGGGGCGGGGGGCGGGGGCTGGGAGGGCGGGGGGGGGGGTGAGGGGGGCGGGGGGCTGAGGCTTCTGCCGTCCTGACCCCCTGGGCCTGTTCCACTTACTGATTTCTAATTGTGGAAAAGGAACACAAGCTGATGGAGATGCTTGCTTTTCCCCGGGCTCGGGGTCCCAGTAGCCAGCCTGCCTGTGGCTCAGGAGGACCACAGGGGCTCCCTGGCATTGTCCATTCACAGCCGTGCCTGTGGGGGACATTGCCACCCGCCCGTTCAGTTCTCCTGGCCAAGGTTACCCCCCATCGGCAATAGTGCTGCTGCCCAAGTGGGGGAGACTCACCCCAGCCCCCTTGGAGCGCCCCTTATGTCGTGATGGTCGATATCCAGTATGTACTGGGGACCTGCCATGCCAGCGCCGGGGTCCTGGGCCCCTTCCCTCCCCCCCACCTCCACTTCACATAAAAACATCACGGAGCCCCGAGGGCACGGAGCTCAGAGTCGCTCCTGTGGTCCCTCCTGGGGAACTGGCCGGAACCAGGTCCCGGAGAGGAAGGTGCCGGAGGGGAAAGCAGGTTAAATATTAGGCCGCCCCCCTCTGCACCCCCGGAAGGCCCTGGGGTTCGCGGAGGAGCGCGTGCTGGGCCCAGTGTGAGCCGGCCTGGGCCCAGGGGAGCCAGCCTTCACCTGCCCCCCCTTCCCGCCCTGTCCGCCCAGTCGTCTCCGGCAGTGCACGCTGGGAATTCTGAGTGAGCGCCGGGGCTGCAGGGAGGGGGGGTCCGAGGCGTCCCAGAGCAGGAAGACGGACGCTCGGCATGCTCCGGGCTGTCCTGACTTTGGGGGTGCGGACCTCACCAGCGAACTGTTCTCCGGGGGAGGCGGTTGGGCCCCCTAATCTCACCCACTGCGTTGCTTTCGGGGTGATGGCCGAGGCCCAGGGAAGGGGGAGCTCCTAGCCGAGGCCCCTCCTCATTCATTTGGCCCGGGTGGCTGAGGGCCGCCAGAGGCCCCGAACCCCGAAGGGGGTGACGTTAGCGAGAACGCGCGTGTCCGAGAGGCCTGGCGGCGGTGCCAGGGGACGGGCAGCGGCTCAGTGCTCCGCTCAGTGACAGGCGCTTCCCGGGTCCCAGCCCTCGGCCTGCCCCACCGCCCGGAGGGCCCGCCTGCGGAGGGAGAAGAGGTTTAGAGGCCGAGGGCTCCTGCTGCCCGCCCAGTGCCCGGCGCCCGCTGGCACGACTCCGCGCCGGTAGCCGTCCCCCCGCCCGGCGCCCGCTGGCACGGCTCCGCCCCGGTAGCCGTCCCCCCGCCCGGCGCCCGGACTCTGCCTGTGCCACTCAGCAGCCTTCTGCCGCCTCAAACCCAAAGTCAGTCCCAGCGTGGACGGAGCAGGGCAAGGGGAGGGGACCTGCCGTGGCCGCCAGCGTGGCCCCTGGGCGTGCCTCGGTCTCCCTCTCCCCGCCATCACTGCCACCGGTGCTGTGAGAGGCAGCTGGGCTGTGAGACTGGGGCTGTGAGATTGGGGCTGTGAGACTGGGGCTGTGAGATTGGGGCTGTGAGATTGGGGCTGTGAGATTGGGGCTGTGAGATTGGGGCTGCTCCGGGGCTGAGATTGGGGCTGTGAGATTGGGGCTGTGAGATTGGGGCTGTGAGCTGCAGCAGGGCTGTGAGATTGGGGCTGTGAGATTGGGGCTGTGAGACTGGGGCTGTGAGATTGGGGCTGCTCCGGGGCTGTGAGATTGGGGCTGTGAGATTGGGGCTGTGAGATTGGGGCTGTGAGATTGGGGCTGTGAGATTGGGGCTGTGAGACTGGGGCTGTGAGATTGGGGCTGTGAGATTGGGGCTGTGAGATTGGGGCTGCTCCGGGGCTGAGATTGGGGCTGTGAGATTGGGGCTGTGAGATTGGGGCTGTGAGACTGGGGCTGTGAGATTGGGGCTGCTCCGGGGCTGTGAGATTGGGGCTGTGAGATTGGGGCTGTGAGACTGGGGCTGTGAGATTGGGGCTGTGAGATTGGGGCTGCTCCGGGGCTGTGAGACTGGGGCTGTGAGATTGGGGCTGTGAGATGCGGCTGCTCCGGGCGGGCTAGCCTGCTGCTGCCGGAGGACGGTCCCTGCAAGTTCAGTCTCGCAGGAACTGGCCTCGGGTGACTTCTGCCTTAAAATAGTGGTGGTTCCTGGAATGAACGTGTGCCCAAGCGTCCCTGGTACGTGACTCCGTCCACGTCTCGGTTCAGATCCCGGCCGGGAGAAGGGAATGGGTTTTCTTGCATCATCCCAATTTCCCCTTGTCTCTCGCCTTTGGCACCGCTGTGGTTTGAGGTTTGAGGCATACGGGAGGGAGGAGGGAGGAGCAGGCCACCTGAGGGCTGAGGGGTAGGGGGCCGAGCCTCGGGCTTTCTCCGGCTCCCAGACCCCTCCTTCCTCACCGGTGGCCTCTGGGTCTTCCAGTCCCATTGCTGGTGCCAGGAGCAGGAGTCCCCACCCAGGGCCTGGCTCCCCACCCTCCCCCCTCCCCCGCCTCGGTCCCACGGGACAGAGCAGGGTCCAGGCCTCCGTGACCGGCTTCCTCCCTTCCCTTCCTCTCACCTGTTCTTGGGGGTTTGGCCACTAATTCTCTTAACTGCTTTCTATAAAAAGACTCCTCCTCCACTTAGCAGGAGGCCAGAAAGAGAGACTTTAAGGGAAAGCGAATGAGTGGGTTTCCGGTGCTGGTGGTGATTCTCCCGTGGCTTTTAGATAAAAATACAAACCAGACCAAAGGATGTGTTTACCGAGGGGTTCAGGAGCAGGTTCCCAGCATACGAGCCCCACTCGTACGGATGCTTTTCCTTAGAGACTATCTGAGAGCCAGCGAGGCCTGGAGCACACGGCCGGCGGCCCAGGGGCCCGAAGCTGGCCTGCGGGCATCTGGGCAGGCAGGCTCTCGGAGGACGGAGCTGCTGGGAAAAGGGGTGGTGGCGACAGGAGGGCAGGACCAGGCCTGAGAGGGACTGACTCCAGGCGCTGGTCGTCGCTCACAGTAGGGCTGCAGGAGTCAGGGCTGACTCAGCACACGCAGCAATGCTCATGCATGTGGCATCCGTGTGTGGGCGGGCACATCGCGTGCTGGGGTGGCACACTGATGTCATCTAACATGGGTTTTCCCCAGTGTCTGTCCCTCTAGAGCCTGGGGGTGTCGGCTCCACCCTCTGGGACCGAGCACCTTCAGAGACGCTCAGCTCCTGCCTGGAAGGGACTTGGAGCGGCCGGTCCTGGTTCCTCTCTCCCGCCTCCCCGTGGCCAGGACCCGGCCAGGCCTCCTCTCTGGCACAGCAGGCAGCTCCCCGCCCCGCTGGGGGAGACCTGGCAGCCGGGGGCTTGCTTTCCTGTGGCCGGCCCCTAGCTCAAGCTCCCAGGGGAGAGGAGGCAGTGGCACCTCAGGGAGGCTCACGGGAGCTCTCGGACACTCATCCCTCCCCACTCGTCCTGCCTCTCGGCTCACTGGTCCTACCTAGATGGTCTACCCAGCTCCCATTCAACCCCTCGGACCCCCAGTTTCCCCACCTGGGGTCCCAGGCCATCGGGGAAGATTGGGGAGACTGGCAGGGATGGGGTCCCAGGGAGCCCTGGGCTTGGACCCGGCCTGTCCTCAGGGCTGCTGCTGCAGCCGCCCGCAGGCACCAGCCTGGGAGTCGCCGCTCACGTCCGGGGCAGCTCCTGCTCCGGCCACGAGTGGACGTGCGTCCAGCGGCCTGGAGACGCTCCGCCGTGGCCAGGGCCGGTGGCGTCCCCGAAGCTGCCGCCCGGCTCACCGCACCCCCTTGCCTCCCCAGAGCCCACCGCAACGACATGGAAACCATCTACCCGTTCCTGTTCCTGGGCCTGGTCTACTCCTTCCTGCAGCCCAACCCCGCGGTGGCGCGGCTGCACTTCCTGCTGGTCTTCCTGGGCCGCGTGGTGCACACGGTGGCCTATCTGGGCAAGCTGCGCGCGCCCATCCGCTCGCTGGCCTACACGCTGGCCCAGCTGCCCTGCGCCTCCATGGCCCTGCAGATCGTCTGGGAGGCGGCCCGCCACCTGTGAGCGCCCCCGCGCGGCCCCTGCCCACTGCCGGCCAGCCCCGGCCGCACAGGGAGCCGGGCGTCCCTTCGAGGTGGGATGGGCCCGGGACCTGGCTTCCTGGCCGCCTGCCGGGCGTGGGCGCCTGGCCCGGCAGCCCGGGTGTGTCCCCCGGACGCCTGGGCAAAGTGGCCGCTCGGAACCGTCCGGAGGTGGCTGTCAAGATCCATAGACAGTTGCTCAGCCGGCGAGGCTCAGTGACAGCATCAACGTCTGAACCAGGAGGTCCCGGTTCGATTCCCGATCAGGGCACACGCCCGGGTTGCTGGTTCGGTCCCCAGTGGGGGGCGTGCAAGAGGCAGCTGATCCATGATTCTCTCATCACGGATGTTTTTGTCTCTCTTCCTCTCCCTTCATCTCTGCAATCAATAAAGACATTTTTTTTTTTTAGCCCTAACTGGTTTGGCTCAGTGGATGGAGCATCGGCCTGGGGACCCCAGGGTCCCAAGTTCTATTCCGGTCAAGGGCATGTACCTTGGTTTCGGGCACATCCGCAGTGCGGGGTGTGCAGGAGGCAGCTGATGGATGTTTCTCATTGATGTTTCTAGCTCTCTCTCCCTCTGTAAAAAAATCAATAAAATATATTTTAAAAAGAATATATATATATATAAGATGGATAGACAGTCAATCTCTCCACTAAAATAGTGGCTCAGAAAACATTGCAGCCTCACTCCCAGCCGCAGGCCAGGAAATGGCAGCTCAGGTTCCTAACGGTCAAGCCCTTGGGATGCAGAGCGACGGTAAACTGGACTTCTCAGCCCCTCCCCCGAGGTTCTGGTCCGGCCCATCTAGAGGGGAAACTGCATTTTTAGGAGCCCCCCCCCCTCCACCCCCGAGGCCCAGCCTTGGTCAGGCCTGGGAGCCGCTCTTGTGCCCTCCAGCGGCCCAGGGCCAGCCAGGGTGTGGCTGCCGTTTCTCTCCACGGGGAGCTTGGTGAGTGTGGGGGTTACGCTCCTTTGTGCTCTGTGCTCCCACATCCTTTGCCGGATCCTCCTCTCCTCGGAGCAGGTCCTGGTGGGGGGCCGTGGTAAGGTTGGCCTTCTCTCCCTGAGGCCGTGGCTGCCCCCTGAGTCAAGGATGAGGGGCTTTGAGTGACCAACCTCTTAAAGGGGCTTTCTGGGTCCTCAGTCTCTGCAAGATTTGAAAATTGCAAGTGTGCCCCCAGAGGGGGATTACGGGTCTCTCCCAGGCTCTTGTCCTGGGACACGGTGGCCCTGTTCTAACCACTGTGCCCCACAGCCTCACTTTCCCTAACCCCCTCCAGCCCTGCCCTCGTCTCCAGCACCTGGGAAGCTTCTCTGCACCTGGGCATGTCCGTCTCCCACTACTCTGCAGACTCTGAACTTCCCGGGGGACTGATGGAGTGGGGGTGCCTGTTGGGGGCACACTGGAGGCTCAGGGGGGACTCCAGGCCTCACTGGAAATCCCCGTCATCCTCCACCTCAGTGCTGCGAGCACAGAGCTGGCAGCGGGCAACACTGCCCCCTGGTGGTGAGATGAGCCTCCTCTCTTGGGTCGCAGCTGCACATTTGGAAACAGGAAGGGCACGATCAGGTATTGAGTGCCTGCTGTTTGCTCTGACTGCCCACCCAGCACCTGGAGGGCCCGGGGAGAGGCAGGCAGGGGCAGGGGCAGGCCCAGGGTGCTGTCCAGGGGCAGGTGGCAGGAGCGGAGTGATTTTTCCTGTCCCGTCCGGGGCAGACTCCGCCCTGCAGGGTGGCACAGGGCTGGCGGGGGCTCCTGGAAGACTGGGCACCCAGGAGACAGCCTGCCTCCCGGTGGCAGCAAGGCAGACGTTCAGGTAGGGAACCGTGAGGCGGCCACACTCGGCCGCCCTCCGAGGCCAGCTTGGGTGCTGGTACCCCAGGAGCTGGGTGCTCTTCCAAGACCCCCGAGAGGGCACCCTGAGGCCATGTCTGCTGGCCGGGGGCACCAGTGAGCTCTGGCCTCATCCCTTCATCTGCATCACGTGCTCCACCCAGAGGTGAGCCGACCCCCTGGGGCAGCCTCCTCCCTCCCACCCGCCCGGGGTCAGAGGGGTCAGAGGTGGGAGGAGGCGGAGGGGGGACGCTGGGCTGCAGCCTGGGGGCCTCTGGGCTGCAGCCCTGAGCTGAAGACAAGGACTTGGGGCTGAGCCCAGGCCTGGGAGGCTGAGGCTGCCCGTGGGGCCTGACATCTGGGGGCAGCTTCTCCTGGCCCGAGACCACCCACAATCGCAGGTCCCTGAGAAAAGTCAATGTTCACGCCAGGGCCTATAGCTTTCCAGACTCTTCCACTGTGTGTAGTAAATATACACGGAGTGGCCGGATTAAGATGATCTCTTAATTATGCCCCCGGATCTCTTAATCCGGGGGCATAATAATGTGGCCACTCAGTGTACTTCTCTTGAGCACCTCATTGATTTGATATCAAAGATACTATAAATGGTTTACCTGATCAGTTTTCCCCTTTGCACTGGCTGATAGAAAGCTCAGGGCAAATAGGTGGTTGATCTCCAGCAAAAGTCTGGAATACTTTTGGTACCCATGTGAGATACAAATACCGTATGTTCCGACGTATAAGACGACCCCCTAATTTTACAGTTAAAACATAGGTTTAGGCCTATATTCGCTGTATAAGACTACCCCCCACTTCAAAGAAAAGACTTACTTTGCCGTCAAGATCTGCAGGTAATTTGGGGGCAATTTTGGTCTTTTGCCCCCGATTTTCGGCTGACTTTTTTTTTCGTTTCCAAAGTCGTCTTATACGCCGGAAAATACGGCGTATACTGAGTGGCCAGACTATTATGCGTTCAGAGATCATCATAATCTGGCCACTCAGGGTATGTGTGCATGGCATACCGTATGCAAGGTGCATGCTATCCTATATAATAAGGAGCTACCGTGTCTCCCCGAAAATAAGACATCCTCCGAAAATAAGACCTAGTGCAACTTTGGGAGAAAAAATTAATATAAGACCCTGTCTTATTTTCGGAGAAACAGGGTAATATGCTAATTAGACCGAGCAGCAGAACGACCGTCTGGAAGACTGTCCAGGCGACCTTCAGGACGGAGCCGGGGCTGTGAATTTCGTGCGTTGGGCCTCTGGTATTTACATATGTGCACATGACGTACTCACACTCTTCCACTGTTTGTGTTAAGGCGTGTATACATTGCCGTGTCTGAGCGTCTACAGAGAGAGGCTGAGGGGGTCCCGTCGGCCCACGCTGCTCCCTGGAGCTCCTGCCCCGTGGCCACCTGGGCCGCCAAGGATGCTGTGCCGGCCAGGACTAGAGGAGCTTCTCTGTTTAAAGTCTGATTAGGAAAGTAACAGTTTTCCCTTCCGGGCTCCCATGTGAAGTCCTGACATTGAATGGGTGTCTTCAACGGCCCACAAATCCCCGACCCCTGCTGTGTCTGCCGACCGGCCAGGACTCCCCTTGGGATTTTAAGAGGTTGGCACTAGAGTGTACGGCGCCTTGGAATGCATCTTCCCTGGCGGGGAGGAGGGGGAGCGGGAGGTACTGCTGCAGGGACAGCGGAGGGAGGGGGGGTGTCTGAAAAGTGGGGGGTTGGGGACGGGGGGTTAAGGATGGACAGGGAGAGATGGTGGAGCCTCGGGAACCTGGGCTGGTGATGGGACCCCAGGAAATGTCCTGGGAGCCAGGGAGGCATGAGGCAGAGGAGGGGCCAGATCGAGGGAGGCTGGGTTTGAGAGCAGGGCATCATGGTGCAGAAAGGCCTGGAAGGAGTGAAGGCAGGGGCTGTGGCTGGCCTGGCAGGTAACTGGGGCAGAGGCCTCGTCTCCTCTGGAAAGGGTCTGGGGTTCACGGCAGAACGGGGCTGCGACCAAGGCGGGACCCCAGGCTCCACGCCCCCGGCGTTAGTGTCCCGTGCGGCGTCACAGGCTGCCACGAACACAGTGGCTTCAGGCAACACCGTGTGTGACCTTGCGGGTCCTATAGGTCCTCTGCTCGGGGTCTCACACGGCTGAGGTCTCCCTGGAGCTCAGGGTCCCCGTCTAAGCCCGTTCAGATTGTGGGCAGAGCTCAGGTCCTCGTGGTGTAAGACGGGGCTCCGCTGCCGGCGGGCACCCCCCCCACAGCGGGCACCCCCCACAGCGGGCACCCCCCCCACAGCGGGCACCCCCCACAGCGGGCACCCCCCCCACAGCGGGCACCCCGCCCACAGCAGGCACCCCCCACAGCGGGCACCCCCCCACAGCGGGCACCCCGCCCACAGCGGGCACCCCTTACAGCGGGCACCCCCCCACAGCGGGCACCCCCCCACAGCGGGCACCCCGCCCACAGCAGGCTGTTTGCCTGCGGGGCCGGCCGGAGAGCAGCGGAAGGAAACACCTGGACCTTCTGTTACGGTTTCACCCGACCAGGTCCACCCAGCATCGTCTCCCTTCTGATTAAGTCAAAGTCCACTGATTAGGGGGACCTTAATGACATCTGCTCAGTCTCTTCATCCTATTGAGCCCCTGAGCCCCGGGAGTCGGGCTCCCCTGGACAGAGAGTGTTTTGACTTCCTCAGACTCCACCCTTGCGGGTGGTCTCCCTGCACAAACACCGAGGCCCCCGTGCATGGAGGGGGACGTGCCAGCAGCCCTGGCAGTGGCTCGGGTTTCGTCCCCATTGGCAGAGGGGGAGGCCGGGCCAGGGGAGCGCCCGCCCCAGGCAAAGCTCGGGTCTTCCTTTCTTGGGTTTTGGGTTTCCCAAGAGACAGACGGCCGTTCTTTCCACATCTCTCTCTCAACTCACGCTCCTTTATTTCAAACAAAAAGTGGAAGCGGATGCACAGAGCGCCCTCTCCCAAACCCCGGAACAAAGGGCCGTGGAGGGCGGCTCCCCGTCCTCCCGGCCTGGCCTCCCGGCCCGGGACGGCCCACGGGCACCGTCTCCTCACGGAAAATTAAACCCGGGCCGGCGCCCAGGACGCTCCCACGCGGCCTGTAATTAGGGCCGTGCGACAGCAACGTTTGCATATATTTTCTCTTACAGAGAGGGCCCGGCTCCCCTACCCGCCCCCCCCAGCGCCCCGGAGCAACATGTGTAAACAATTAAGCCGTTTGTTTGTTCTGGAGGCTTGGGAGGAAATGACATTGACATCCCAGCGCCCAGGCGGGCAGCGCTGCTGTGGGAACAGGCCCCAAGCTCTTTCCGAAGCTGGCGTTCCCGGGACCCGCCTTCCAGGCCTCAGCCGGAGCCCCGGCCCGTGGGACCCCCTCCCTACAGTCTCAGCCTGGCCGTGCAGCCCGCCCCCTCCCTCTGGGCTGCAGTAGAGAGACGGGGTGCGCCTCCCTCGGAGCGCCCAGTCCTGGCGTGGCAGCGCCTGGGTGGGCCTGTTTTCGTGGCAGAATTCCAGGGGGAGTGCGAGGAGGACCGTCAGGGCTGAATCGGGGAGAAGGGAGAGAATCGCTCGTGGCTGTAGTCACCATTCCTTCTAGAACAAGAATGGGGACCATCCCCACGCAAGGCTTTGAGCTGTCTGAGGTCATGTCTGAGGCCATCTAGCTGCAGCCTGTGGTTGGGAGCGGGGTCCTGGCGGACACTCTGAGACCGTGCGGGCTGGCCGATCGAATACCTACGGATCGACCCACCAGGGCGTGACGGCGATGTCACCGTGAGGGCCACGCCAGGCGGGCTGACCCGCTCTTCGCCCTCCGGGAACATGGCGTGCTTCCTTCCTGGGCGGGCGAGGTTACAGAACCCACCATGACCTTCCTTGCCAGTGCTCCCCACGAAGGGGAGGCGGAGGCCAGGGCCGGGGCCGCTTCAGACACCCCCTCACCCTGCAGTTTTCTGCGGCTCCTCTTCACTGGCGTCTCTGCCGGAGGCACAGGTGTCCTCCGTCACCCCGTTACCTTCTGCAGGAGGCGGGTTCCGGCCGTGGGAGAGGCCTGCTGGGGGCCTTGTCTGTCAGGACCCCTCCTCCTTCCTGTGGGCCCGGGGCCTCCACTCTGCACCCCGCCCTTTGTCCAGGCCCCTCCCCAGTCCAATGCTCGGGGTCCCACGCTTTGAGTAAGCCCCGGAGCAAGGAAGTTCCCGTCAGCATCTGTTTGCGTCATCCACCCTGGGACAGGGCCCGCCCTGACCGGAGGGGAGGAGTCCTGCTCCCAGCCTCAGAAACCCCGGGGCGTCCGTGGGGTCCGGGCGGGCTCGCCCTCCGTCCCACCCCCACCCCCGGGATCTGCAGGCGAAGGAGACTCTGTCCAGGAGCGGCAGACGGGGCAGCTGACTGCTGGCTGCGGCCCCGCCGGCCCAGGCCAGGGTCTCTGGGCTGCTGGGGCCAGAGCAGGGCTCCCCGAGCTGGCCCCCTGGCCTTGCTGCCCATCGCTGCCCTCCCACAGCCTTTTGGGGCGCAAACCATTCTTTATTTCTTAAAGACAAAAGCTGTTTGGTTTAATACACATCGTAAGTGAGGTCAGCGGTCAGCTCCTGTTCACCGTCCGGCCCAGCGCCTGCCAGGGGCACGGGCGAAGTCTTGGCGGCGGACGAGGGGCTGAGCTGGGCTCCGGCCGGCGTCTCGGCCGCCTCTCGGGTCCAGGGTGCGAGCTGGAGGGAGGCCCAGGGTCCGGGCTGGAGGGCAGGGCAGGGCAGGGCCGGGAGAGCCCACCCAGCAGGCCTGGGACGGGACAGCAGGAGGCGGCTCTCGGACACCCGCCCTCGCCTCGGCCGCCGCCCGGGAGGCAGGGTCCCGGTGGCCGGCTCAGTTCACGGTGGGCACCTGGCTGTGGTGCAGGCTGAACTCCTTGGCCTTGAGGCGGAGGCTGGCGATGCTGTTGGCCATGTTGACCCCCGGGGCGGCCGGGCTGGAGCCTCCCGGGCTGTAGGGCGGCGCTGTGCTGAGGGGGACAGAAGACACGGGACGCCCTGTGGTGTGGCTCTCAGTCCTGGCTCCCCTCCTCAGCTTGCTCTTCGGGGACGGGGTGCTGGGGCCACCTGGGGATTGTGGGGGTTTCTCACGGGACCAGGAGCTTCCAGAGAGCAGGGCCTGGGTCCCGCCCACCCCGGGCCTGTGCAGAGGCGGCTGAGTGCGCACACACCTGGTGTAGGGGGCCTCAGGGAGTCAGCGGCCTCACTGGGCCTCACTGGGCACCACCGGGACTCGGTGCCACAATGACTGCAGGGCTCGCCATCCACAGCGAGGCTCCCGCAGACTAAAGGCCGCTCACAGACTAAAGGCAGATGGCGCCCCCTGGAGTTGTGGGAACAAGCCCAGCTCCCCAGCCCCTCCCTCCTCCGCTCACCCCACCACCTCAGAGCCTGTGTCTAGCTGTGACCAGGGGAGAGCTGCCCCAGGACGTGGCCCTGGGCCCCAGCCAGGGCCCCAGGACAGGGAGGCCATGATCCCAGGCCTCCAGGAGGGTGGACACAGGGTGTGGGGCTCTCGCACCTCAAAATCCCGCGGGATTCCAGCTGCCTGAGAGCGACGCGGGCTCTTCCCTCCCCTCCAGACAGGCCTCGTCATCTCGCCCTTCGGCACATCCGTGTGCACATGTATGCACATGCACACGAACACGTCTGTGCACTCCCAGGCACATGTGTGCACTCACAACCGTGCACACACACTGATGTGGAAAGGCACTCATGTGCATACATGCGCACACTCATGCCACACACACATACTCCTACAAATCCCACGTGTGCACACCCAAGAGTACACGTCACTCCCTTGTCCACCGGTGTGTGCCCGCTGTCAGGGCTGCTGGAAGGAGCCTGGGCCCCAACGCACCCTGGGGACCCCTGGCCACGCCCCTCCCGGCCTGAGGGGGCCGCCCTCACCTGTAGGGGGGCGAGGCCGTCCAGGAGAGATAGTCGGGGTTCAGGGCGGTGGGCCGGGGGGCCACGGGCTGCTCGATGGCGGCCTCCTGGCTGTAGGACTTGAGCAGCGAGGCGGAGCGGTTGGCCAGCATGGCCCGCTCATTCCGGCGGAACTTGGCGCGACGGTTCTGGAACCAGACCTGGGGGGCAGGGAGAGGTGGGGGCGGCGGCCGTGAGGGGACCCAGGTCCTGCTGGACCCAGCGTGTGCCTGCTCCGTACCAGCCCCGGGCTGGCAGCGTCCCCTCTCCGAGCCTCGTCTCCTCATCTGGAAAGGGGGTGCTGGCGGTCCCCGCGGCTGGTGAGGGTGCGGTGGAGAACCGCGTGTGGATGAATGAATGAAGGGTAAATGAGTGAGCATGAGAGGTGCATGCTGGGTGCTCCGCTCGGAGCTGGGACGGGTGGACACGGAACATGCTAAAGCGACTTTATCAAACCGCTCCGGGGCAGGCGCTGCGCGGAGCACTTTACAGATGCAGTAACTCCTTTTGTAAAATTTAAAAAATGGCCTAACTCAGAGGATAGAGCGTCGGCCTTCGGACTCAAGGGTCCCGGGTTCGATTCCAGTCAAGGGCATGTACCTTGGTTTCGGGCACATCCCCAGGAGGGGGTGTGCAGGAGGCAGCTGGTTGATGTTTCTCGCTCACTGATGTTTCTGACTCTCTATCCCTCTCCCTTCCTCTCTGTAAAAATCAATTAAAAAATATATTAAAAAAAATAAAAAAAATAAAAATTTTAAAAATGCAGTGACCCCTTCACTTCTCAGGAGAGCCTATGAGACACACCCACGTGATCCCAGTTCACAGGGGGGCCCCTGAGGCCCAGAGCGGTCGGGCAACGTGCTCCGGGTCACACAGCTGGTACGGTAGGTGGCAGGGCTTGGACGTGAGCCTCAGCCCCTGGCCTGAGGGGTTGCTGCTCTTAAACATCTGGCCCGGCAGCTCCCTGCCCCGGAGCGGACGGGGTGCCCCCACCGGCGCCCCCTGGCGGCCTCACCTGCACGCGCGCCTCGCTGAGGTTGACGCGCCGGGCCAGCTCCTCGCGCACGAAGGCGTCGGGGTAGTGCGTGCGCTCGAACACGCGCTCCAGCGCCTGCAGCTGGCTGCTGTTGAACGTGGTGCGGTTCCGCCGCTGCTTCTTCTTCCGCTTGGCGGCGCCGCGCCCGGGGCTGGGGCACTCGCCTGCGGGAGGACGGGGTCAGCGGGGCAGAGGGCAGAGGGCGGTGCCGTGGGTGCCCCAAGCCCCCCCAGACCGGCCAGGCCCACGGAGCTCAGACCAAGGCACCCAGGCACCTGCTCAGCAGTTCGCATTGAGTCTTTAGTTTTTTTTGTGTATATATATATATATATATATATATATATATATATGTTTATATATATGTTTTATATATATATATAAATCAATTATATATATAATTGATTTTTACAGAGAGGAAGAGAGATGGATAGAGTGTTAGAAACATCAATGATAGAGAAACATCCATCAGCTGCCTCTTGCACCCCCCCATCCCCACTGGGGATGTGCCCACAACCAAGGTACATGCCCTTGACCGGAATCGAACCTGAGACCTTTCAGTCCGCAGACCGACGCTCTATCCACTGAGCCAAACCGGTTTCGGCTAGTTTTTTTTTTGTTTGTTTGTTTTTTTAATATCTAGTTATTGATTTCAGGGAGGAAGGGAGAGGGAGAGGAAGATGGAAGCATCAATGATGAGAATCGTTGATCAGCTGCCTCCTGCACGCCCCACACTGGGGATCAAGCACACAACCCGGGCACATGCCCGGAGCAGGAATCGAACCATGACCTCCTGGTTCCTAGGTCCATAGGTCCATGCTCAACCACTGTGCCACGCCAGCCAGGCTTTTTGCTTTTGTTTTTTTAAATATATTTTTACATGTCCTGGCTGGTGTGGCTCAGTGGATAGAGCACCAGCCTGAGGACTGAAGGGTCCCGGGTTCGATTCCGGTCAGGGGCTCTGGCTCTCGCTGAGGGCAGTTTGGCCTCCAGGGGACACTGGTCAGGACCGGGATGGAACGGGGACAGGCTGGGGTGCTGCTAAATTCCCTTTGACGCCCAGGACACGGCCCCACGTGCCCAGATCGCCGGTCACACCGTCCGCAGCGGCAGAGCCTGCCTGCGAACACGCAGGGCCCGCGAGGGAGGGGCCGGCGGGGGCGGGGGGCTGCACGGAGGGGCCCCAGCGAGCCGCCTCCCCCCCAGACCGGCTCAGGCTTCACTCCTCACCCTTCCCTCCAAGACAAGGCGCCGACGGATGGACAGGAATGGCCCTCCCCGCCCCCCGCCCCTCCATCCAGCGGGAGGAAACCCTAAACCGAACCAGCCAGGGCCCATGTGCTGACAACGGGGCGATGAGCAATAGGCCACGCGGGACGGAAGCTTCCGGAACACCAGCCATCGGAGCCCGCGCCCCTTCGGCGTGGGCACACACCCGGCGCGGGAGGGATTCTGGCCAGAAAAGCAGGCTTCTTTCGGGAAGTTCCAGGCAATCCGAAACCGAGCGTGTTCAGATGAAAAGCATTTTGTACGCCCGCCCTGCCGAGGGGGCACAGGAAGTAGCCACCCCCCCTTTCCCCAAACTGTGTGGTGCCTGACTCTCACCCCAAAGCATGCACTGCCCCCCCCTCCCAGCCCCAGATGCGCCCCCGGACCAGCTGGCCTCCACGGCGGCGGCCAGCCCTCCCGGTTCCTGCCCAGGCAGCTCGGATGGGGTGCACCCACTGAATCCCCCCAACCGCCCATTTCACAGACGGGGAAACTGAGGCAGGCAGCCGCGGGGGAGGAATTCCTGCCTGCTTCTCAGGAAGGCAGCCTGTGGTCTGTCACTGAGGTCCCCGCTCTGGGGGGCGCCATGGGGTGGGTCTCCAGGTCACGCATCTCACTGGTGGGCGAGCACCCAGGCCCCCCTCCGAGCTCCCGGGAAGGGCACGCCGGGCACTTTTTCAAAAAATAACGTATTATTGCCGAAACCAGTTTGGGTCAGTTGATAGAGCATCGGCCTGAGGACTAAAGGGTCCCGGGTTCGATTCCGGTCAAGGGCATGTACCCTGGTTGCAGGCACATTCCCAGTGGGAGGTGTGCAGGAGGCAGCTGATCGATGTTTCTCTCCATCGATGTTTCTAACTCTCTATCCCTCTCTCTTCCTCCTCTTTGTGAAAAATCAATAAAATATATTTTAAAAAGTAAAAGTAAAAAAATAACGTATCATTTTGCTTTTTACATTTTTGATTGATTGGTTGTAGAGAGCGTGGAAGGGGTGGAGAGAGACAGAGACACGGGTGCTGTTGTTCTGCTTGCTTATACGTTCGCTGGCTGATTTCTGACCGGGGATTGAACCCACCACGTGGGTGTATCCGGACGATGCTCTGCCCGACTGAGGTGCCCGGCCAGGCCGGGCGCCTCTTTGTTCTAAAGGAAGACCTCACACCGGGAGCTGGGAGCCGGGAGGGATGGTGCTTGCCAGAGGTCACACCAGGTCCCTGGCAGGAGCTGAGTTTAACTCAGTGTCCAGGGCATAGCCAGTGCCCAGGGCATGCTGGCTGCCCTTCACGCTTCTGTGCGTGTGTCAGCACGTGGGACGTGGACGCAGGGTCCACGGGGAAAGGTGATGGGAGTCCCCCTCGGAGGCTGGAGGAGAGGCAGGCGAGGCTGAGGACGGTCCAGGCAGCGCTTCGGAGGTGACCCGGGACTCGAACCCAGAGCTCGACAGTCCTGAATTTTAACAACTTGTCCCGCGTCCCACGGCGTCTTAAAAAAGTCCCGATTTTTTTTTTTTTTTAAACGCCGCGGGACACATTGTTAAAAATCGAGACTGTCCAGCCGAGACTGGATTGGCTCAGTGGATAGAGCGTCGGCCTGCGGACTGAAAGGTCCTGGGTTCAATTCCCGTCAAGGGCATGGACCTTGGTTGTGGGCACATCCCCAGTGAGGGGTGTGCAGGAGGCAGCTGGTCCTTGATTCTCTCTCATCAATGTTTCTAGCTCTCTATCCCTCTTCCTTCCTCTCTGTAAAAAAAAATCAAGAAAATATATTTTTTAAAGATCGGGACTGTCCCGCCAAAAGCGGGACGTCTGGTCACCTTACTTGCATTCTACAAACGTCCTGCTTTCCCCTGGGATCAACATAAAGGCCGGGGCCGCGTGCCTGTGCCCTGGCTGCTCACGCCGTTGGGAGCGGCTGGATGGGGCAGGAGAGACACGTGGGGGCTGGGGGCGGCCCGCCATTCTCTCTCTCTCTCTCTCTCTCTCTCTCCCTGAAAACCTGTTACCCCGTCCCCGATTACATTACAACGGGGAAAAAAAAGGCGCTCTGCCATTAAATTATTTCACACGTACCGTTCACTCGCTGACCGCCGGCCAGAGACGTTTAAGATCCCTGCTCTTGGCCAAGCGATCGGGTGTTCCCGGCTGCCCTCCCCGCACCCAGAGTTTTTCTCATCCCGTGTAATTTAAGGGCCTAAATGGTCTGGAGGGAATTAGCGGCAAATTCTTCCCAAGACAAATAAACCCGCCTCTCGCTCTCGGCCTCTCTCAAGCTGCCAGGGGACCCTCTTCTATTTGTTTTTGCTTCAAATAGTCAGTTTGCGCCTGACCCCCGGGGCCAGGGCGAGCTCCAACCCAAATAAATAACTTTTATTAATTAGCATTTATTCTGACCGAATCAGCAGCCGCCCCCTCCCCCCGGTGCGATCTCTGCCAACACGTTCACAAAAATAAACAGCAGGTCCCCGGGACCTTGATGTGGATTTAACACATTAACACCGGCGGGGGGCGGGGGGGGGGGCGCGGGGTGAGGGGGGACGGGGCCTCGGAGCTGCAGAACGTGCTGTGCCGGCAGGAAGGTCTGAGGAAGGAAGCGGGGAGCCAGCCACGGCTTCGCACCCCCCGCCCCATGCCCCAGGCCTCCCGGGAGAGATTTGGGTTTCCCTGAAGGGTCCCAGGGAGCAGGGCTCCGACAGGAATTCTGCAAACCGCATCCTCAGCCGCTGCCCCAGCATCTCTGGGGACCCAAGCATTCCTCCAGGGGACAGCGACGTGAGGGGCCTCCCAGGGGTGCGGAGGGGCGGTTTAGGCAGAGCTGCGGGGAGAGAACCCGTTAACCCGTCATGGTAACATCTGACCTCCTAACAGCCCTGGATGGGGGACTCTTAGTCCGATTTCACGGATGTGGAAACTGAGGCACAGAGGCGAGGCCACATGGCCAGTCAAGGCTGAGCTGGGATGTGAATCCGCAGAGCAGCCCAGGTCCCCGGTCTTACCGACTGTGGGCATGGGCAGCTGGCCCTAAGCCCTTCTCCCCCACCCCCACCCCCCATCCCACCCCCATCCTTGTGCATGAGCTTCCCAGGGCCTCTGGGGGTCTTGGGGTGTAGGGAGCAACCAAGGGAGTATGCTCTGGAGTTCCCAGGCATGCAGGCCAGGGGGGCTTCCAGGAGGGGGCGCCCCCCCGCCCCGTGAGACCTACGAGGGCAGGACCAAGGGCAGGCCTGCAAGGGAGTCGGTCAGCGTTTTGAGAGGAAGAAAGGAGGCGGGCGGAGGGGAAGCATGGCCTCCAGAGGCCTCTGGGGGAGGCAGCCTGGGCTCTGGGGGCCCCGGAGGCCGCCCATTCGCCAGAATCCCATGCGAGGGGCTTGAGAGCTGTTTTCATCTCTGGACAAGCTGACCTCCGGCCTGGATGCTCGGGGACCGGGGACCAGGCCCAGAGCGGGGCTCCGAGCCTCTGGGGGCTCCGTGCCTCAGTCCCACTTCCCAGCCTCGCCTCCCAGGAGGCCTCATGGCCTTAGCGGAGAGGCCGGAGGGAGGCCCGGAGAGGGAGGCTCGAGAGGGGCCAGGACCGCCCGGCCTCCCACGGCCACAGGGAGCCTTTGCCGGCAAACCCCAGGCCCTGGCTCTTCTCGCCACCCCCCCCCCCCCGGCAGCCCCTGCCAGGCTAAGGAGGGAGGAGGTACCCCGGCCCGGCCCGGCCCTGGGCGCGTCCTTGTGATCTGGACAACAGGGTGAGCCCCTCTCCTGAGGCCTTTCTGGCTCTGCCGTGGAGGGAGCACCAGGCCGCCCTGGCTGCGGGCTGGGGGCTCTCAGGGCCGCTGTCAGGGTTCACGCCCTCTCTGAAGTCAGTGCCCAATCCTTCCCCCTCCCACAGCTTACCTTCAGGTCTCAGCTGACAT